AACAAACCAAACCCAAACAAAACATAAAACAAATAACAACAGAAGGTCTAGACATGGCCGTTTTGATGTATTATATAATAACTAGCAAATTTAGTCTGGGAATTTAACTAGAGAGGTGGCTACTCAGAGAAATAAAAATTACACACCAGTTTCATATTACTGAAAGAAGGAAATGACTGCCATTCCCCTAGCAAAAACATGGTGTCTGTTCCAAGATTTGTAACGGAGCACACTTTGGAACATTTTTGTCTATGTCCTTCATTTCAACACGTTACATAATGACTGGAAACACACAAGTACTGTTTGTGTTTCCAAATCTTTGTGGTTGCCTAGTCAGGACAGCTTTATGTCAATGAAGTTATAACTTCAATTTGACAACAATTTACTTGTCAAAGTCTCGAAAGCTGTGCGGCTCAGGCTGGCACCTGTAGTCTGTTTTTTTTGTGCATTGTGTTATTAGACAAGCATGGCAAACATCCCACTGCTCCTGAATGGAGTTATTGTACCTTCAGTTGGTCTGCTGTGCTAATTGAAAGTCCACACCCAGAGGAGAACAGTGGTCCAGAAGTACAGGAATATACACCAAGCATGTGTGTCTATGTGCATGAAACAGTCCATAACCTGTAGTGAGGCACAGACTAAGTGCGTGATTGCAATTTTATGCTAACTAACCGCAGCATAGGCTGGACACTTAAGCCTGGGGTCTCTAAACATATTTCCAGACTGCCAGCTAAACACATGGCAGAAAGAGGAAATGTCACAACTTCCCAACTACTTGCAATGGCACTAGAAACACTTTTGATCCAAATAGCTGGAAAAAGAATCAAAATCTTAATCGTACAAATCTTAAATGCACTTTCAATGCAATTCTATGGGGCAAGATATTCCACCACTATAAACCTCAAAACACTTTTTAAAATATATAGCAGCACCTAAACATGTTAACAATTAGACTAGTGTGATATAATTACTTGATAACACGGTGTAAAAAAAATAAAAAATAAAATAAAATAAATTATAATGTTAATAAATGATAATAAATTAACAGATCTTTTTTCTTTATTGTGACACTTTTTTTAGGGGGAAAAAAGTCTGGGACTTTTATCTATCGGAGACTTCTATTCTATCAGTTTTAACTAGTCTTAGTTTTTTTTCTCTTTTTTTCAAATTTAAAACACTGAATATCCTTGAAAAAAGACAAATTCACTTTAGAAGAAACACTGCAATTTATTAAGACTTGAATTTATAGACTGGCCTGAATATGTGTTCGTCGGCGGTTAGTTTTATTTTTTAAATAAACAATGACACTTGTTTTAAGTATAAACAAATTAAACAAGGGACAAAATCTGTAAGTGCAGTAAGATGAAATACACTTAATATCTTATGCAGTGTTGCTTCAAGTAAATTCATCTTGGTTTGAGAATATTTAGATATTTTAACGGGAAAACATGACAAAAAAAAATATATATATTTTTTTTTATATACTTTGTGGTCTGCAAAATATTAGCCAATCTTTGAAATACAAGAAAACTAGAAAGCTCCACCCGAAGGAAGGGCACTGGCAACACCAGGGGTTTGTCTGTTTAGAACAGTAGCCGGTGACAATTAGACAAATATTACTGTTCAAATACTCACATTTTTTGTATATAATTCTATAACATCCTTTACAAAATATTAGCTTCACATTCCTGCTTTTCAAACTTTTTCAATTGCTATACTGACTTCATGTAAATACATTACAACAAATGTGTGTTTTGTTTTTCATAAAACAAGTGATAAATCATTCTCTTTTCTAATTGTAATATACAATTGAAAAAATGAAAACACTGAAAAAAATGCTAAAAGAAAGAACACTGAAAAAACCCATGTTCTGATTTCTTCTGCTCTTTCCTTCAAAAAGATGAGCAAACAGACCACTTGTGAACTATTCTAAGCCATAGTTTTAGCTCTTTCTTGGCGGTCATCTTGACATTTAGATATAAAGCACAGGGCAGTGCATGTAGTACTTCTTTTCAGTCATTTGTGTACACAGCATTAGCGAAAATTGCTACTGGAGCTTTTCTCATGCCTGGAATACTAACAAGCCAGTCTACCTATGCAATTAGGATAGTTTATTTCCACTAAAACCCTTCTCAGCTTGGAACCTGGAAGCCATCCAGAAGATGTTTGGGTGAAGGGGACGTATTGCCCTTACTATGCTGACTATGTCTATCAGCATAGATCAACAATGTAAATCAAAGCACTCCAAAGACATGAAAAATTCTAAACATTTCCTTGAAAAATCACACTGTCTCACTCTCTGCTCTTGGTAGATGGTGGCTCTCTCTCTTTCAATTTCTTGGAGACATAAAAAAATGTATCCATTCAATGTCCTGAAGAAATCAGGTGTCTTTTGGCCATTTGGCTGTGAGCCGTTATTCATTAATTCTGCTGGAATAAGCCTCATGTGCCATCTAACTGGGGCATGGAAAAAAACAAAAACACAGACTTCATTAAAACTTTAGTATGATCAACAAGCATTCTAAAGCATAATCAGCACTGAACATCAAAATAAACTAACCCAGAATAATTGATTCATTTCATAAGGGGGAAGGTTGACAGGATGCCAGGTGTTTGTTATTCTGAATTCCAAATATAAAAGAGGAGAACCATTAGAAAATACAAATAATAATTCTAAAAAAAAAGTTACAGACGGTTGAAAATATAGATGGTGAAATTCATAGAAAGTGTCATTTAGAAGTTACAAGACTTGTCAAAACTGCAGCTTCAAAAAAAAAAAATGCACCACTTAAGGTGGTTATAAACTATTTTTCTTTTTAAAGAAATACTGTATAATTGTATTCAGGAAGAATGCATTAAATTGACCAAAAGTGACGACAAAAACTTTTACATTGTTTTTTTTTCATCTTAGAATACTAAAATTAAAAGAAAAGTATCATGGTTGCCACAAAAATATTAAGCAGCACAACGGTTTTCAACACTGATATTAAATTTTTTTTTCTTGCGCACTAAATCACAATATTAGAATGATTTCTGAAGGATCATGTGACACTGAAGACCAGTTTAATGGCTGTTGAAAATTCAGCTGTCTAGAATTGATCAAATAAATAGATTTTTTAAATATATTAAAAAGAAAAGTTATTCTAAATTATAATATTTCATTATATTTTTTACATCATATTTCACAAAATTTATCATCAAATAAATGCATTAGGGATGCACCGATATGAAAATTTTGGCCGATATATTTAGTTTAACTTGATGTACTAAAAAAATACAAAACCAAAATTACTAAAATTATTAACTAAAATTAACATGAAAGCAGAAAATATAAAAATTTGATAGTATCTCAATGACAAAATGGATTAAGAAAAGTGAAATTAGTTCTAAGAGCTAATAATTTGTTTGTATATGCTATTTGGTTTGATACTTTGTTACCTAATGCATGCTATACATTTTTACATTTTAAGTCAAGCTGAAGTGTTTATTTGTGCGTGTGCGTGTTTAAAGATTTAATTAACTTTGTGTTTAACAAATTTAAATTAATTTAGGATCTCCTGGTTGAGAACATCTGCTTAAAAGTGTTTAGACCTCGAAAAATGTGTATATATGTGTATAAATATGAACAGATGACAGTCAAAATAATGGTGTGTCTCATGTCACATTCAGCCTATAAAACACTCAAACTTTATGCACAAAGACTCACTCTGAGAGAAAAAAAAAAATAAAATAAAAAAAATTTGTGATAGAGAAACTGCAGGTTAATGGAAATTAATTACCATCTCTAACTGGCAACAATTAATTTGTATTACTATTACCCTCCCTGCTAAATCCACTTTGTAGTTGTTTATCATCCCCCAAGTCAACTGGGTAACTTCTTGGAGGAGTTGGATGTGTTACTCGCAAACTTCCCTGAGGATGGTACTCCTCTGGTACTACTCTGTGACTTCAACATCCACCTAGAAAAACCCCAGGCTGTTGACTTCAACACTCTGCTTGCTTCATTTGACCTCAAGCGAGTGTCTACTCAACCAACTTTCTATGTTTCTCACACAGAACAACCTCCTGGACAACAACCAACCTGGTTTCAAAAGCAGCCACTCAACGGAGACGGCCCTGCTCTTGGTTACTGAAGCCCCGAGACTGGCAAGAGCAGCTTCCAAATCCTCAGTATTCATCTTGCTGGATCTGTCTGCTGCTTTCGACACCATTAACCACCAGACCCTCCTGTCCACCCTCATGAAGATGGGCATCTCAGGAACTGCACTCCAGTGGTTCAAATCTTACCTCAGGGTAGGTCCTTTAGGGTGTCTTGGACAGGTGAGTTTTCCAAGTCACAACTTCTTGCTACTGGGGTTCCTCAGGGCTCAGTGCTTGGACCACTTCTCTTCTCATCTAGATGTCATCATTAGGATCTGTCATTCAGAAATATGGCTTTTTTTCCCCCTGTTATGCTGATAACACTCAACTCTACTTCTCATTTAAACCAGTTTTCCCCTGTTATGCTGATAACACTCAACTCTACTTCTCATTTAAACCAGATGATCCAACGGAAGCTGTTCACAATGCAGCCTGTCTGACAGACATTTCTGGCTGGATGAAGGACCATCACCTTTAACTCAACCTTGCTAAGACAGAACTGCTCGTGGCCTCAGCCAACCCAGCACTTCATCTCAACTTCTCTATACAGCTAGGTCCGTCAACCATAAATCCTTGCAGTACAGCCAGGAACCTTGGAGTTGTGATTGATGACACAAGACCATATCACTTCAATAGAACGGTCTTGCAGATTTGCCTTATACAACATTAGGAAGATTAGACCCTTCCTGTCAGGACAGGCCACACAACTCCTTGTCCAAGCTCTTGTTCTCTCCAGGCTGGACTATTGTAATGCTCTCTTGGCAGGTCTTTCGGCATATACTATATCAAGCCTCTGAAATTGATCAAGAATGTAGCAGCGAGAGTGGTCTTCAACGAGCTGAAGAAAGCCTACGTCACACTTCTCTTCATCAGTTTCCACTGGATGCCAATAGCTGCTTGCTCGGCATATACTATATCAAGCCTCTGAAATTGATCAAGAATGTAGCAGCGAGAGTGGTCTTCAACGAGCTGAAGAAAGCCCACGTCACACTTCTCTTCATCAGTTTCCACTGGATGCCAATAGCTGCTTGCATCAAATTCAAGGTTCTGATGTTTGCCTACAAGACAACCACTGTCTCTGCACCAATATACCTAAACCTGCTACACTGCACATTTGAAGGATAAACCATAAATATCTTTTACACAGAAACAGGAAGTTGCTCCAACTCTACATTGCAAAAAAAACATCAAAGGAAGTTAACTGCGGCCAGAAAACACCACAGCCCACACACAATACATTAAGAAATTTGTATGACACAAGACGCTTCAGTTGTTCTGAGATTAAAACAAAACTCAATCTTAAACCTATATTTAACTGATATCCATGACCTCAACAGCTGTTAGTGAAGCATGATACCTGACAAAAAAGGCACCAGGATTGAAATGATTATAAAATTGACTATTTACTTTCTGCACCGACTTCTTCTGAACAGAATTTCCTGAATTGCGTCACATTACTGATGTAAAATAGGTTGTGAATGTCAGTTTCAGCTAATTCCTAGTGGTTGGTCTGCCTACCTTCTGGCGGGGTTGATTGGGTGATGAAACAACCACAGTGTTGCAGATAGTGAGGGCGATGAAAAAGTCAAAGATGTCACACAGGTCAGGGGGAATCTGGTTCAGGGGCTGACAGTGAAAACGCATGAACTCCATCTGACTACTACACTCATTGACTTTATCCATGAGCTGGGGATCTGGAGTAATGTCCTTTTCCTGTCAAACCAATAAAATAAAAGTAGAAATATCATTAAGCGTTGGGTTACTGAGTGATACATGAACAGCTTAAGCAGGAGAGGAAGTGTTTGCTAACCATGGGACTGCTGAAGGCAGTGTGTTTGGACAGAATGCTGGCCCGTTTGGCTTCAGCTCTGCTCCCAGTACGACGGTGAGATTTGGTGCTCTGTGATCTCAACACCACTTTTCCACTCTGGTGGCTGGTGACGCTGTCCCGCCGTGGGAGAGTTCCACCATGAGATGTACAGTCCTCCTCCTCTGAATCCATTTCCTGGTACATAGCAAGCCTCCTCGCTGTGGGAAAGACACTTAGTTTGCCACTGTTTGAAACATTTGGGCTGTATATGGAAGACCTAGTCTTCTGGCGCCTTTTCCTCATGCTAATCTTTTATCTGAGCCACCCTAGAGAGAGTGAACTACATTTAATTTTAAAATATATATCTATTTATTAGTGCTGTTAATGCATCATGTTAATTTAGAAGCTCAAACTAAGATATGTTTACATATAAATGTGTGTTTTTAAAAATGTTTTCAAACGAAGTATTTTATGCTTACTAAGGATGCATTTATTTGATGAAAACTGTAATATTATGAAATAATATAATTACAACGGTTTTGTATTTTAATATTTAAAAATGTAATTTACTCCTGTGATGTCAAAACTGAATTTACTGCAGCTATTACTCCAGTCTTCAGTGTCACATGATCCTTCAGAAATCACTCTAATATGCTGATTTTGTGCTTAATAAAAACATTTCTTCTTATTATCAATTTTGAAAACAGTTGTGTTGCTAAATATTTTTGTGGAAACCACAATCCATTTTCTCAAGGACAATGGAGCCTTTTCACATTTCCGGGTTTTCAGAAAGACTATAGACTATGTATAGACTAAACTTCTATAGACTACACCAAAAACACCACGACTTTCAAAAAAAGGCAAAAATAAAATAGAGAGGTTGCTAACAGCAATCTGAAGAGAGAACAATGTCAAATTTAGTTTTACTCCCACAGCCACTATATTAGAAACATAATATTTTTGTGGAAACCACAATCCATTTTCTCAAGGACAATGGAGCCTTTTCACATTTCCGGGTTTTCAGAAAGACTATAGACTATGTATAGACTAAACTTCTATAGACTACACCAAAAACATTTGTTGTGTTTCCATTTGCTCAAATAGCAAAGGAAAAACACCACGACTTTCAAAAAAAGGCAAAAATAAAATAGAGAGGTTGCTAACAGCAATCTGAAGAGAGAACAATGTCAAATTTAGTTTTACTCCCACAGCCACTATATTAGAAACACCCTCACAGCAGTGTTAACTAGTAAGCACATTGGTATAAATGTAAATCTCTTTTAAAATTAGGGTTGGGTATCGATTGGGTTTTATAAGATATCGGTGCCAAATCGATACTTTTAAAACGGTACCGGTGCCTAAACGGTGCCTGAACCGATCCTTTTTAAAAAAGAGCCACATAAAAAATGATGGATAACATTAAAGAACATTAAAAATATAAAAAATAAATATACATAGCATTCACATGCTCCTTGGATGCTTGTATTTCCCAGAGTTGTGCTTCCCTTACTCGAAGGCTAATAAATGTATTTCACGATCTGGGTCATTATTTAATACAAAACAATATTTAATACAAAACCACACATATAACTAGTAAGCACATTGGTATAAATGTAAATCTCTTTTAAAATTAGGGTTGGGTATCGATTGGGTTTTATAAGATATCGGTGCCAAATCGATACTTTTAAAACGGTACCGGTGCCTAAACGGTGCCTGAACCGATACTTTTTAAAAAAGAGCCACATAAAAAATGATGGATAACATTAAAAATATAAAACATAAATATACATAGCATTCACATGCTCCTTGGATGCTTGTATTTCCCAGAGTTGTGCTTCCCTTACTCGAAGGCTAATAAATGTATTTCACGATCTGGGTCATTATTTAATACAAAACAATATTTAATACAAAACCACACATAATGTTTCTACTATATCTCCGTCAATCACTCAGATTTTTAGTTCAAATGCTGTCTGTCACTGTCTTTAGTCAGTTCTGTGAATTACTGTATGGTATGCCACATTCACTGTAATACATTTTATATTAAATATTATATTTTCAAATGAAAATAGCAATATGATCGTTTTATAAAGTATGCGTTCATATGTGTTAAGGGCTAGATTTCCGCTGGAGGAAACAGCTGTGGTGTGATGAGCGGTGAATGCAGCGAAAACTTTACAGTAGATGGGAAACCGATTGCTCCCTTGTGACCTTTTGTAAACTGTATTTATGACAAAGAACTGCACAGATACAGATATTATAACAATCTATCGATAAACACACACCTTGTGTCCTATGTTTGAGTCCGCTCGCACTGCGCTACCACGGTCTGCGGAATTGAAGAGCGCACTGAAAGATGGGGACGAGACGAAAAGTCTGCCGCCATTTTCATATGAAATTTAAAGAGGACTGACTCTGAGGCGATCATGAATTTGTGTACAGTTTATGGAGCTAATCGCTATAGCCCCGCTAAAAATGGCCTTGCGATGTACATGCGTCTTACGTGATGAGTGGTGAATGCAGCGAAAACTTTACAGTAGATGGGAAACCGATTGCTCCCTTGTGACCTTTTGTAAACTGTATTTATGACAAAGAACTGCACAGATACAGATATTATAACAATCTATCGATAAACACACACCTTGTGTCCTATGTTTGAGTCCGCTCGCGCTGCGCTGCCACGGTCTGCGGAATTGAAGAGCGCACTGAAAGATGGGGAGGAGACAAAAAGTCTGCCGCCATTTTCATATGAAATTTAAAGAGGACTCTGAGGCGATCATGAATTTGTGTACAGTTTATGGAGCTAATCGCTATAGCCCCGCTAAAAATGGCCTAGCGATGTACATGCGTCTTACGTCCATTTCAGAGAACCAGGACAAATATTTCAATCAATCGCTCAGGCATTTAAGTGGCACCGAAATGAGGCACAGAAATCTGCCTTCTGATTCGGTTCTAGTACATACCAGTTATATAGGTACCAGTGCCATATTGACACCGGGTTTCGGTACCCAACCCTATTTAAAATAAAATGAAAATATAGAAAACTTTTCAGGTTTAACAATGCTTTTCATACATTGTGTGAAAAGGGTCCATTGGAAAGTTTAAAAGAACAGGATTTATTGGAATATGAATCTTTTGTAACATTATAATATCTTTGCAAATTTTTTAAAATGTAATGTCTTGCTGAATAAAAGTATCAATACCTTTTAAAAATAAATCTACTACATGTCCTTGAATGATCTTCATTTGCGGGCTTTTTGATATATGCCATTAATTGTAATAACTGTGATTAATTACATTATTGGCATATCATGTAATTAACTAGATTAAAATGTTACATTGATTGACACAACTCTATTTATACAACATTTTGCTCATATACAGATGATTAATGGTGTAAAAAGAACTAAATTGGCCTTTGTGCTGGCACTGCAGACACTGAGAAATCTAACCATTGGCATCATGCGAGTACTCGACTCCTGCCACAGTACAACGGCGAAACACCATCTTGTTTTCCGTGAGCGTGCCGGTCTTATCAGAGAAAATGTACTGCATCTGGCCAAGGTCTTCTGTGATGTTCAGAGCCCTGCACTGGAGGTGAGAGTCCGTTTCCTCATCGTACAGCTCCATGTCCTGATGGATGAAGTACACCTGGCATATCTTCACTATTTCAATGGAAACAAAGAGCGAGATTGGGATCAACACCTGCACCAGAGAAAAAGAGAAGTAGAGAGGTTTGTTGTAGGTTCATGTAGTGTCACCATTTCAACTACCGCTGAGCCTACAACAAGATGGGAATTAAAGGGACCGTTCATTTAGAATTAAAAGTGTCATTATTTAATTGAATGGTTAAATCTAAAAGAATTTGAATTTTTCTACATAAGGAGCATCAATTTTAATCTAAAGCACATGGTAACATTCCCCTTACACCACTTGCTATTCACCTGGAATACTATAATCATGGTCAGGAAGAGATAAATGGCTGAGACCACTGGAGATATGTCTGTTCCTTCTGGGCTCAGGACGTCAAAGACAGGCTTCTTATCTCCATACTGAAACATCCATAGGCCATGCCCTAGAGGAGGTTTCAGAGACAAACACTTGTCAGTAAAAAGCATGTCAAAATGGATTCATGGGTATTGTTATTTAAGAGACACTGAAGATGTTCAAGGAATCTAAAAATGTTGAATGAAACCAAAACAGCGCAATCACTGCTTCCTCTAAAATGCTTCCTCAAATCAGATACATTCATCAATCACTGTAGGAGTCTTTTTTTATCATGTTAAAAAGCATAAAAAGAATTTTTGCTGAAAAGGCAATTACATTTTTTTAAAATATTAAAACAACAAGATTCTCAATTAAACACTAACTTCATCTTGTTTGATTATTATTATTTTTTTATTTTGGGACTTGATGGATGCAAAAGATAAGAATGTTCATTATAAATGAATTACGTAACAGCTTCACACTTTAATTTACAAACACTTTAGTTAATTTAATTTAATTTAATTTAGTTAATTTTTTTAATTTACGTAACACTTTAGTTAAAAACAAAAGACTCAGAGTAACACAATAGTAACTAATATTATATGGATAGTTCTGACTGAAGGGATGAGCCACATCTGAAAATTTAAAATAGCCAATATATGCACACCTCACAAAAATGTCAGGCATGAAATCATTAATAACTTTAATAATAGCATTAATTAAAAACTGTATTGATGCAAAGTTTTATGTACCAATGGCAGAAAAGAGGCACATGACCAGGAGGATGATGACACACCAGAACACGTCAACGTTCATCTGCCGCTCCAGTTTGCTGCGTTTATAACGAGGGCCATTGTTGTTCAGCATTGCTTTTGTCTCATGACCTAAGAATCAGTACAAAGCAAAACACTTACTTTTTGTAAAGATAATATCAGCTGCACCAGCCAGATGACCAGTTATCAAACAATTCACCCTTCACCGGGAATTTGATTTACAGGCCATCTGACCAATCATAATGCAGAATCTGCCATTTTGTCCAACAAACAAACCAGACAGGAGAGTAGATTAACGTTGGTGCACTTTAACAAAAAAAGAAAAAGGAGTGTATTGACCACTTTCAGTATTTGAAACAAGATACCTTCTGATGTTCATTTATGTTTATTTTGTGCTATAACTAGTAAAGAGGAAGAGATAATCGGTTCACGTCCTGCTGCAACTGAGGCACTACAGTGATCTGTCACGACACATTAAAGAGCTGCAAAATGGTATTTATTGTCTGAATTTCTTTAAAAAAAAAATAAATAAAAATTTGAAAGCGGAGACTGTTTCATACCAAAAGTGACCTGCTCTGTCTTGTCTGTCGGTGCGTTATCAGTGTCCTCTTTATTTTTCACTGCGTGAGAGCATGATGTGTGGCATGAGCGCGCCATGGCTTGTCGGACGTAGCAACAGTAACTAAGGGGGGGGGGGGGGGGGGGGGTTTTGCGAAGGGGAAAACATAAAATCACAAACTACACAACATTTTTTTTTTTGTGTGTCTTAATACTAGGTATTTACCACACCTTTATTGATTTTGCTCACTTTTAAATGTTGTTTGTAAAGCTTTTTTATTCTTGTAGACATTTAAATACAAAAATGTGAACAATTTCAAAATATGAAAAAAACTAAGATACTAATGATATAATTTAGATATATATTGTGTGAAAATGTCTTTAAACTGCATTCTTGATGCTTGTAAAAAAAGAAAAAAAATCAAGGTAAAATGAATTTAACAGAATATTTAAAAGCATGTAATTTCCAATAAAACAGAATAATTTGCCAATTATGCATAGTGTAAAATATTTAAAATAATTAAATTATTTTTGAAATGACAATAAAATTACCTTAATGAGATAAAAGAGAACTGTTAACCACCGTTAAACTGTTAACCAAGAACAATACATAATTTGAGATGTGGTAGAAATGCAGTGGACATTTCCAGTCCTGGTTTGGAAAGAAGGAAGTGTACCTGCATAGATGACGATTCCGACAGCCTCCTCTGTGTTGCGGATGGTGCAGCCCCTGAGCAGCAGATTGTCTTTGTACAGACCGTCTCTCCTACCACTGCGATGAATTCTGTCATACACACCATGCAGGATCATTCATCACACATCACACATATCTGTGAGAACTATACAGAATCTAGTAGTGCTGGGCGGTATGACCAAAAATTTATATCACGGTATTTTTCAAAATTATACCGGTTTTATGGTACATGATGGTATTTTTTTTACATGCATGACCGGGTGTTAACCATATTTTCTACTGATTGAGAGAGGAAATACTGCAGTATATTGACTTAGAATGCCCTATTTTTGTGTCATGATGAGTGAATATTGTCAAAAAATACCACACTAAATGGTGACTAAACACGACCCCTTTTAATACATGTTAACCATGAGTCACTCATTTATAATCGTGGCATCGTCTGATAAAATCAACATGCATCTACACTAAAGAGCGGCTATGCGGTTGTTTTGGCTATATTACTTTTTTGTCTCATGCAGTGCACTGCCTGAGTCTGATTAACAAACTATAAAAAAAACAACAAAAAAAGTGCGTGTGATATTAACAGACGAACTACGCTCATATTAATAATTCTAAACAATCAGTAAGCGACAGGTGCTAGGAAACGCTGTTTTGTACTCATTTATTGACGAGTCGGCTGTGATGCGGCCAACTGAATGCGGTGCATCTCTGCCACTCACTGCACAGAACAGATGCCGAGAGAAGTGACACTTCTCCGGGAAAGTCAGACCTCGCGTTTGCGGGACAGCACTGGCGAAATCTTCCAACTGAACCATAGCTAAGGTTTATCCAAAAAAGTCGCTAGGTTTGTCAGTATGAATATTCTATGGAAAAAAGCCGCTAAAAGGGTCTGAAAGGTACTAAATCTAGTGCAAAATTCGCGCTCGTGTGTGTGTGAGAGAAGCGGGAGCTGATGGCAGGGGGCGGTGGATATTTGTGGCGGTCAATGTGGATATTGTGGATGAGTTCTTCGGTGTCATCACGTTCTATTAGTTCTACAGCTTCAGTTTCGGAACTTTCACGCTTAGTAACACATACAGCTGTTCCCTCACCACAGTGCAACAGTGAAAAGGGACCCCTTTCAAACACTGTCGCGTTCTGAACATTGTTTAAGCGACATACACCGGTATTGCGGTATTTAAAAAATTCATATCATAACAAAAATAAACACCGGTATTCGGTATGAACCGGTATACCGCCCAGCACTAGAATCTAGTTCCAATCTGAACTGCTCTGTCCTCGTTTGATAGAACTACATTAGATTGGCCTTTATAACCATATGATGTGGATACTGCCAAGGGATATCTACATCGATGCATCATATTTTACAGCCCACAGGGTTTCCCCCATGATCCCTCTTTCACAGCACAAAATCAATAGTAAAGCCATGACCTCACTAAAATGGCTCTGTACACAGGTAAAGCCCTGAGGCCAACTGGATCTCACGTTCAGTCAATGCAGCACTTTTTGTGAAATCCCAAAGCCATGTCATAAAAGAACTGAGCAAAATAAAAAGATTCTCAGGGTAAATGAGAGCGAAGGAGTGGCATGGAATGAAATCTTAAATCCAACGAGACCTCCGATCCGAAGGTTGCTTGTGATTCCTACAACAGGAAAAAGTTCAAGGGGCCCCAGGAGCTTCCTGATAAAAATGGCGTCAAATGCAAATTAACTCGCACTGAATGAGCGCTGAATGCTAAACACCTGTAGAGGCAGCTCAGTAAGTTTAATGGAAGCACTAATCCCAGTGCTAAATTCAGGATTACATCTGTTAGTTAAAAAGCTGTTTGCTGAACTTTTCCTTTGTCAATTATTTAACAAGGCCTCTGGCAAGTTTTTTTCATCCCATTGTAGTGCATTTGTCTTTGAGCTTTACCCTGGTTTGTACCCAGACCTGATATATTAGCTGTCTGAACACCCCATGCTGTCAATCACAGTTCTGGTTCAGTTCAGAGTCATTTGCCTATTTGTTAGCTTGGACAAAGGGGTTAAAGTATGGCTTGTCAAGTATGCTGCAGTTAGCCCTTGATGGTAAATGTAATAACTATGTATAACATATGCCTGTAAAAAGCATCTTTCTCTAAAGGTCATTCATATGTAATTGATGTACTCTGATGGAATAAAATTCCAGTTTTGTAAGCAAGATATAAACTGCAAATACTTCAGTGTATTTCATTATATTCCAGTTAATCTGTTCCAGTTAACCAGATATTTTTTAGGGGGCTTGTAAACACAGTTCGCCCAAAATGGAAAATGATATCCTCATTTCCAGTCAAAAGTTTGGATTATTTTTAAGATGCTTCAGAAAAAGTCTCTTATGCTCACCAAGGCTTTTGTTATATAGTTATTATATTTAAAAACACAGTAAAATATTGTGAAATATTATTACAATTTAAAATAACTTTTCTGTTTTAGATGATTTTAAAATGTGATTTGTTCCTGTGATGGCAAAGCTGATTTTTTTTAACAACTATTACTCCAGTTTTTCAGTTTAATTTAAGATGATTTAATTTAAGAACAGCTGTTTTCCTTTCACAATATAACTTTTTTTTTTTACTATTTTAAACAAATAAACAACCCTGGTGAGTATAAGAAACTTAAAAACTTAAATACTAAAATACTAAAGCATCTTATATATATATATACACCTGATATATGTATATATAAACTTGTTATATATAATTTCTTTTGTCCATATAATGCATGTCACTGGGGCCAACATTCAACATTCTTCGAAATATCTTCTATTGTGTTCCACACTATTTTAAACAAATAAACAACCCTGGTGAGTATAAGAAACTTAAAAACTTAAATACTAAAGCATCTTATATATATACACCTGATATATGTATATATAAACTTGTTATATATAATTTCTTTTGTCCATATAATGCATGTCACTGGGGCCAACATTCAACATTCTTCGAAATATCTTCTATTGTGTTCCACAGAAGAAACAAACAAAGTCATAAAGACTTGTAACGACATGGGAGGTGAGTAAATAATTTTCATTTATGGATGAACGAACGAAAAGTGTGTAATTGACTGAAATGTTTATTATCTGCTGCATTTCACGTCACAGCTCAGAGTAGCTGCTAATGTACAGGACTGTGTGTGGTATCATCAGTCAGTCAGTCAGTAATGTCATGATGATTTTCTGCTGCACCAGAGTAAATAAGCTGCCTTCAAATGTGCCCGGGAAACTCGTACCTCAGAGTAAGGCATTCGTCATTACGATACGTCACACATTCAAAAAATACACACAAGACAGAAGCAGCCTAAACAAAACAAAAGAACTAGCCTATATTGTGAACAATAAGCCCAAATAACTGCAACTGAATTTAAAATGAAGAAATGACTGAAATACAGCATGTAAAATTAAACAAATTTGCAAAACTTTCCACTCATAAATTTGCTTGGTCATTCATTTGCTCAAAATGATGATATTTTTGACTCTACTTTACATTAGTTAAATAGTATTTACCATTAAGGTGACTGACTTAAAACAACATGCCCATGCCCTCTAGGTATCATCTCCTTGGTTTGCACAGAACATATTCGCCCGCTGGGATGATATCTTAATGCAATAAGCTGTCGCTCCAACAAGACACAGTCCTTGGTGCCTACCGTGCATTATGTTCCCACTTTTGCTCCGGTAAGCCACTTTGTGGAAACTGGACGAAAAATGCTGGCATCACAACAGAAGCATTTGTTCTCCATTATCCAGGGAAATAAATGTCATAATCCTTCTGGTTCCTGTCAGCTGACTCACTGGCCCTGCTTTCATTACCATATCAAGTGCAGCAGGTTTTCATCACAATACAGGAGATATACTTCAACCTACACAGCCCTGGCTTGGCTAAAGTTCTTGTTTTACTACTGCTATGGCAGTCTGCTGAAATAAATGATGTATGCTAATCTCAAGCCCTTGACCTACGCTTTAGCCACCATTAAAGACTTTAAAGGGGTCCTATTATGCTCTTTTACAAAGTCTTGATTTCGTTTTGGGGGTGTACTAGAACAGGCGCTCATACCAGATTGTTCGAAAAACACATTCTTTTTCACATATTTTACATTATTACAACACCTCTCCCCCCAGGCTGGCATGAATGGCTCAAATAGTTCCTGTATCAAATGAAGGCCCGCCTTCTGAAATACGAAATGTGCTGTGATTGGTTAGCTGAGCCAGTGTGTGTTGTGATTGGCACCACTCGGCGCCTGGTCGGGAAATGTCATGCCCCTTACCATAGCCACCTGCGAGCTTCAGTGTAAATATTGCGTCAAAATCAAATCTATTTGAGCGCGATTTAAACCTGGATGATTGGAACCACTATAAGTTTGTCTGCCTTGGGAAAGCTAGCGTGTCTCTGAGATAGTGATAACACTCGTTGCCTTCTCTAGTGCAGCTCAGCCAGGTCTCGTCCCATTCGTCGGTATTTGTGATATCATAAATCCCAGAAAATATGCGTTGTAGTCCAAACGAGTCGTTCGTTGTAGTTTTTGAAAAGGGTTTTCTTTTAAATAAAATATCTCCTTTTGAATTGGACTTTGAACTTTGTAACTTTGCAGATCTTTTTTATGCTCAAACAGCAACATTACAGACTAACTAAAATTGAAAAAGTGAAAAAGCATAATAGGACCCCTTTAAGACTGCCTGACATACAAAGAATAATCTTAATCCACACTTTGAATGTCTAAATATACCAGATTAACAAGCCTTTTTAAACAAGTGAAAATGCAGGGATCAGGGTTCGGACACATTTTTACCAATAAATTTCCATGACTTTTGAGACAATACTCATGACCTAAATGTTCCATTATTTTACAATAAGAATAAAAATATGTTCAAATTATCATAGCATATGTTAACTAAAATGAATGACTATTAATGCTACTCGTTTGCTTTCTTGTTTTAGTAATAAATACAAGCTGCAACTGCGCCAGACGTAACTCCACAATTCACATATCACATCACTGAATATTATCATTTATTTAACTGTGTGGTCAGGATGGCCATTTTGGTGTCATTTTGTGTGTATTTGTGCTGCTTAAATGCAACAAGCTGCGCTTTAGAGCCCTGCATTTCAGCCCGAGCCCAACGGCCCCAATTTATTTATGGCTTCGGGACAATTTTCACGTCATAGCTCAGACATCAGGCTTGCTTCCTTCTTATTTTTATATTTTAGAGATCCATCAATTATTATGGTAATGACAAAGATTTGCCGCGCTGGTGGAAACAACACGAGACTGTGCTACCGCGACTGTCAAGAGTGGCTCGGACAGTGTTTAGTGTCCAGCAGCAGCGAGTGCTGGAAGAGTTCCATGTTAAAGCGCACGCAAAGCTTGTCGCAAAACGCCAGCAAGTAATTACCATGATGAATGCCCCAGAGGAAATAGAATATTCACAGGGTTTCGGTTCATTTTTGTGAAGCGCTCCTGCTCAAGACCGAGACAGCAGAAAGCGTATCCTGTTTGTTTTCTAAAAAAGCACAACGTATGCTGATATTGTGAGTGCACACAAATAAAAGTAGACCCTTAACAGTCCCGAATGATGTATTACTCTTACCTTTATGAGCAAAAATGAC